TAACAACCAACTCTTCTAACTAGCGCTCCAACTAATACCTCGGCGACGAGCTACTTCCCTTGGTGCTTTCGCCCGCCAACCCATGACGGTTACTAAAACCATTGAATCCTGACAATGCTGAATAACCATTTTGTGGATCCTGTCCGCAGACCTCCCATGTAATGCACCTTTTTCCAAAGGTGTTCCAAACAAGTTTCCCGCTCAAACGTTCACAGCTGAACTGCAGTAGCTGAAGCAACCTCTTCCCTAAACCGGGCTACAAAATATTCCCAAGACATAGTCTATAATCCCAAAGTTGCAATAGGTCGCACTATCAATCCTTACCACCTGATACAAGAATTCCAAGGTAAACCGGACCTCACAAAATACTTATGTCACATAGACCCATCTGCGCTGAATTAATATCGCCAATCCCTGCAACCAACTGACCCCGAGCTGGAATACAGCCCGATCTTGGGGTCACAAGCCTGCTCACTCCTTTGAGCTCGAAAAACTAAAAGGGCACAACCCTTGCCATAGATGAAAAAAAAAAGAATTCTAATCAACCACTCTACTTCCCATCCTCTAAAGAATCCCTGAACTCTAATCACCTACAATCCTTTGATAATAAATTTCTCCTGACACCTCCAATGGCCTAACAACTCATGAAACTCCGCAACACATAGATCAGACAGAACATGCAACTAACTCGAACTTACTGCTTATCCATACTCAACAATATTCTAAGACAGAATAAATACCGATCACGGACGACTTGAGCACAATATTATTACAGAATGGGGTTTTCCAATTACATACCAGAGACTTCTTGCGGCTCGACCTTGACCTCCTGAGGAACGATGATCGTTGGAATCTGAATTCCTTCCGTCCTCAACACAGGACAGCTGGACCTGAAATGACCTGGTTGGTGACAGTGAAAGCATATTTGATCCTTCTTGCAATCCCGTTGCACATGCCCTCTCTCCCCGCACTTGTAGCACCTGAATTTGTGACAAGCAAATCTGTAGGTTCCCCCGCACTTGCCACACACCTCGTGACCCTCCTGACTTCCAGTACTTAAGTTAGTTGTCTCCAACTCTTCGTCCTCTGCTGAACAGTCCCTCCTCCTCTTTCCTAGTTGTGACCCCACCATCGGCACTCCCCCAGTAGTCATCCCGGTAGCAACATCTCTCACAGATTGCAACGCTACAACTTGCTCCTCGAACTTGGCGATCACCCTGGTGGTGACTCGGTCCACGAAACTGAATAATTCTTCTCGCAAAATCTGAGAAACCTCCACGGAAATCATCTCCCGTATCAGATCGACGGACAATACTGGCCTATCCTGGCCACTCGTTCCCGATCCTGATCCGGATCCCGCCTCAAATCGATTTGCCATCACTATACTGAACATATACCAGGAAGATATCAGATAATCCGCATACATGACGGGGAACCTACTCCCAACCAAACCCTAGGGGTTGTGACTTCCTTGAAACGCGTATGGGTCCTGTGCTTTCAATAGTACGGGCCCATACTACCTTCCACACCTACCCATATGTGTCTCAAGTATCACCACAACACCCTACCATATACATATACATAGCGACCGTTAAATCCTCACTTCTAGAGGAATGATAAATATCTCATAACTAGCCTTCCGGCTTCTCACTACCCACCCATCCACCAACTGCCACACGACCCTCCTTTGGTGCCAGTTAACTATTGCACGAATACAATCACATACCGCACGGCTTAAATAATCTTAGACTAAAATATTTAATCCCACAACGGTTGGACTCAGACAAGATTTGCGCAGCAGGGCCAAATCCCTTACCCTAAGACCATTTAACCCATGTAGCATGTGACTTAGAGTATTCACCCAATAGTTAGTTCACACACGAAAGGGTCACAAACAACCAATGAGGTACTCTACATAGGATAAGGCATCAAAGATCAAGCAATTCTATCATACGATTCCTAAGGATTCCTATATTATTACTAGCATGCTGTTCTAACATATCACATAATATCAAATAACTTGTATGGTATTTTGGGGTCTACTTACTAGCTCCGGCTGATCGTACACTTCGCATGCCTCCTTTCTTATTTTGAAAACCATTTAAATCATTTTAAAAATATTTTCCTTAGTTTGAGACTGGATTCACACGAGTGTTCCTCCAATTCATTCAAACCAAGGCTCTGATACCAACTTGTAACACCCCTAAAATTTGAGCCAATTTAAAACTTTTTAAATTATATAAAACCATTCAGTTATTACGGTTTGTTTTCAAAATAGTTTAGACATCAAAGTTCCCAGAAATCATAATCATAAATCGAGGAAGTGTACGGTCACGCCTTCGTCTTCCCACGGTCATCTGCTGAACCTGAAACAATAAACTGAAACTGTAAGCCCGAAAGCTTAGTGAGTTACCCCTAAGATACCAACCTCATACAACCATAACACATCATATAACAAACACAGAACAGCCATGCATCTCGAGTCTACAGTGTGACTGGTCCGCCCGCACCAGGCCTTCAGTCCACCCGGTCCACTCTCTGAGTCTACAGTCTGACTGGACCGCCCACGTCGGGCCTTCAGTCTATCTGGTCCACTCTCCGAGCCTCGGCACGTCTGGACCGCCCTCTCGGGGCCTTCAGCCTATCCGGACCGCTCGCCGGGCCTTCGGCCTGACTAGATTTTCCCTTCCCGGGCCTGCAGTCTACCCGGTCCGCCCACGGTGTCTTGGCCTACTGCACACAGCAGGACCTGCCTCAACCCTTTCCCCCATACCAATCAAACAATCATGTGCACATAAATATCATTCGCTAGCATGTATATAACAGATAATCATACCGATCTAACAGATCACTAGCATAGCAACCATCCTATAACCAGGATACCGACCTAACCGGTCACTAACATAACATCATCCTATATACCAGGATACCGACCTAAACCAGGTCACTAACATAATACCATCCTAACTACCAGGATGCAGATCTAGCAGATCAATAAACATATCAACAAATACCCGGATACAAATCCGATAAAGGGTCGGCCTTGGTGCCTTAGACCCTGTTGATATAGTGAGGATAACTCACCTCCCAAATGTCACACTGGAGTGATAGGCTAAACTCTCGAATCACCAACACGAACTCCACCACCTACAGTTACCATAAAACCCATTTTCATAAATTTCCAAATTACCAAAATACCCCCAGAGGTCAACTGGTCAACCCTTGGTCAAAGCCAAAGCCAACAGTCAAGGTCAACAGTCCATGTTGACCCGACTCGTCGAGTGCACTTTACCGACTCGTCGAGTCCTTCCTGAACTCGAGAAGTCGTGAAATCCTTGGTTGACTCGTCGAGTTTCCCCGCAACTCGCCGAGTTCATACGTGTCCAAGGGTTGGGGAAAAACCCTAGCCGACTCGTTGAGTCATTCGACTGACTCGCCGAGCCCAAGGCAATCTTTAACGGACCCGCCGAGTTGTTCATCCAACTCGTCGAGTACATGACTATCTTTATATGACTTGCCGAGTCGACCTTGCGACTCGCCGAGCCCCTTTAATCCTTCAACCATACAGATGCTTTTTAAGTCATGCAAAGGCCCCATATTGCAGATCTAAGCTCCTAGGGCATACTTCTTACGTAAAGTTGCAAACTTTACGTACATGCAAGGTGCTAATGACTTAAATCAAGCTAAAGAAGTGGTTCTTAGGCAAGGGATCACACTAGCATGCTAAGGGCTGAGACTTTATGATTGTAAGGGCCAAGATGAGCCTAGATCTGAAGTTGCAACTTCAGATTTTGGTTCACCACTCAAATGAAGTACCAAAATGACAAAAAGGCCCCAAAACTCAAACATAGGAGAATCTAACTAAGAGAAGGTCAAGGTAACAGCCTAATACCTTCAAAAGGGTGTCAAATGGAGTAGATCTATGCTTCCTACGAGTTTCCTTGCGTCAATCCACTTGTTTTCCCCAAGCTCTTCTCCCCAAGAATCCTCTTCCAAAGCTTAACACACACAATAGAGCACACACACGAATTAGGGTTTCTGGACTCTCAAGAGGCAGTAAAGGGAGGCTAAGGGGAAAATGGTCCTTTAAATAGGGTGCAAAACCCCGAAAATTAGGGTTTTTTCCTCCAGCTCCTACTCGTCGAGTCCCTTCTTGGACTCGGCGAGTAGGTCACTTAAGTGCGCGGCCTAACCCGCTGCTACTCAACGAGTCAGGCAACCAACTCGTCGAGTAGACCTTGAATTCATGAGAATTTATCACCATAAATTGATATTCGAGAATCGGGGCGTTACAGGTAGTGCCGAAAATCGGTATCGGTATCGGCAATGTTAATTTGGTTCGGTAGTAGAGATTGACTTTCGATCAAATTCGGTTTTCAAAAAATCGAAAACGATACCAATTGGTACCAATTCCGTCTCACGCTCATCCCTAGTCAAGTTGCCTTAATATACCAAGTTATCCCTTATAGTTTTTCCCTATTTGAGAGTAAGGTCCCACCCTATACTTGTGTTCTTGATATACTTTCTTGATTAGTGTGATCATACTTGTAACAAGTTTAACGTTGTATATATAAAGCTTATCTAAGCATCTAATCGACCACTTTTAATTAATTACAAGTTGCTTTGTTAATCTTCGTGATATTTGGAGTTGAATATTTGGAGTTGAATATGTTTGTTAGTCTAAATTATGTTTTGTTAACAAATGCTTTGTGCCGTATATGCAATGCATTTCAAGAAAATGAAGATCACCTTTTTTTGCTTTTGTTCTTGGAGCCTCACTCCTCGACTGGTGGAAAGACTTTAATTGTTGGTCATGCGACCTAAATTGTACGAAGGTACTGACGCCATCTCAAGGGCGTTGTTATGGGTCATTTGGACTTACAGAACGACTTGGTTTTTGATGTCAAAACTACGGTGTTTTGTGGCTTAAGTTTAGATCAAAATGGTGTAGGGGTTTGATATGGGGTTTATGGGTTGATAACCCATTGTATTACAAAATGTAATTAACGTTTCTGCCATTAAAAATATATACATGTATATATATATACACCTAATGCCAAAAAACTAGCATTCAACCAATCTATCAATACGATAGACTGTTTGACATGGAGGCCTTTCCACCACCTACCAGTTCATATTAACTCCTCTCATAAAAAGACACAAGACACATCTGAATGGAGATAAAAGTTGCACACAAAAGATTATGATTACATGATTACATACTAATAATACTAATCAGTTCATATAACTCCTTGCAAAAAAAAGAAAAAAAAATCAATAATCTTGTGTTGATAATACGAGATATAACTTTAACTTTGTTATTGCATAAAAACATAGTGTTCTTAGTAGCGGTCATTTCCAGCATCACGGTTATAACCACCACCACCTCCAAATCCACCGGTACGTGGAGCGCGCTCTGTTGCAAGACTAACACGAACACTTCGCCCATTAAGTTCCTAAACAAGCAAAATAAGCTAAAAGTTAGATTTGTAATCTTTAAATACAGTGTAAACTTTCTAGGGCTATTTTCGATGATGAGATCACTGCAATCTTGATTTTCTAACCTGTCCATCCATGGCTGTCATAGCCTCCTTGGCACAATCTTCGCTGTTGTAGCTAACAAAACCAAATCCCCTAGACCTCCCTGACTCTCTGTCAGTAATAACTCTGGCTGAAAAAATATTTAAGAAAATGATATTTAAAAAGATATTTTATGAAATGTAGAAATAAATAAATTAAGACTTAATACAAAAAGGCTATTAAGACTTTCAAGTGAAATAAGAAAGATCCATTTATAGTTTACTGGATCATTGTTACCTTCAACAACTTCACCAAATCCAGAAAACGCTTCCTTCAAGGAATGATCATCAGTCTGATAAGAAAGACCTGCAATATTTATAAGTGATTATTATATTTCGTGATCACATTAATAGAAGTGAGTCGAGGACTATTAGAGTTACATACCACCAATAAAAAGCTTTGAAGACATGCAGCGAATAGCATTGAACATTGAAGGTCCTGTTATTTGTCCATTTGATACAGAGTTTTGGGAAACTGTTTGCTTCATGAGACTACCGATTCTATTGTAGAAAGCCATTTCAACTGTTCAAGTTCAAAGAATCTGCACATGAATATTTTGTATATTGAGTAAAAGGTTTGAATCATAAAGAAAAGAGTACGATATTAATATTAACGGATTTTAATTTGATCACCTGACTTTCAAAAACAATCTAATTATCAAAACCATTGTGAAAACCTTCCAGTTTTTGCAAGTTATAAGTGTTAATCACTTTTAAAACTATAAGTACGTGGTTTTAGTAAAGATTTTTGTTAACTCGAAATACAAAATTTGGAATGAATCTGCACGTATAATTTTGCCCTGTTTATACCATAGACACTTGTCTCTGTTTCATGGAGAAATCAAGCAGCCATGGACATAAATCATGTCGGCCTTTGGAAGAACAACACATACGACTCAAGAATTGAACAACTATAACACCGAACAACATAAAACACAGAATCTGATTATTTTAATTAAATAGATGAATTTGGCGAACGAAGAGGTTTTAATGTACAAATCCTACCAAAATAAATTAGCTGACTACGATATAAAGAAGTATAATTTATAAAGACTACCATGCTATAACGATGAGACATAACAAGTAAATAAAAACAAAGAGACGCTAATGAAGATGAGAGATCTTGTCAAAACTTGAAGGATCGATCATATAGACGGTAATTTTTCCATGATCAATAAATAAATCACTTGCAAAATCGAAGAAGATCAAGAAGAAAGGAGAAGTTGCTGTACCTTGGAAGTAATTAGGGTTCAAGGAGAGAGAAAGCGGCTAGGGTTTATGGCACTGGAGTGGTGAAATAGGGTTTATCTGCTTATTTATATAAAGAAAAGCCGCCGTTCGCAAATGGGTATAGCTTATGCTTTTGGAGTTGTAAACTTGTGCGGCTTTGTTACCGTTATTGCCTTGTGAAGACTGTGCACCGCACGGTTTAGGTTATAACAAAGAATAAGTTTTTTCAAAGATATTGAACAAAAATATGATGCAATATTCTAACTTTTGTTTTATAAGGCTAAGCGGAGTGGCACTTGTCAACCTCACCATGTTCGCTATAACACCACCCCTTAGTTCTCATTAGGGGGTCGCAACCGGAGATGCGCCAAGCTTTTGGCGAGAAGAAAGAGAAAGCCATGCACGAATTTAATTGGCTGGAGTGTGTTTGACCCGGTTTGCTTTGCTGCTTGACCGAATTCAATTGTTGAATTTAATTTCAACAACTTATTACCAACTTTCATTAAAAAACGATTTTAATAAAAAAATATATTCAACTACTATATCAAACCACACTCTCAACAATTTACACACACAATATTATATCTCTTTCACAAATTCTTTCAATTCACCAAAGAAAAATGTCTTCATCTCAAACAAAGAAAACCCCAATAACAAACAAAAAGAAAGTTTCAAACATTTCATCACTAAACACTCCATTGGAAGGAAGTTTTGGTTAGGGATGTTTTTTTCGACATATTTAGACGCGTTGGGGTTTCTGCCAAGAAAGAGGCACCTATGACCTTTCTGACTGACTCATTGGAAGGAAGATCAATACTTAGACCAACTGATGTTTAGTATTTGGATGTGCTGGAGGGAAGCATGCATGCATAGATCTAACAGGGGTTTCCCCTCTTATGGGCTTAGGGAGTTGGGTTTTCACTATGGGGCAAGGTGTTTTAAAAGTTGCATCATGCAAAGTGGCAAAATATGAGAAAACGTGCATGGAAAATCAACACACGTTTATACCTTTTGCATTTGACACTTTCGGTTTCCTTGCGCCAGAAGCTGCGGAGCTACTCAATAGAGTTCAACGGGTCATGCATAGTAATGTTATAACCCCGATATCTATAGATGTTTTTAAAAGAATTAGTTTTGTCATCCAAAATGGGTTGTGGCACAACTTGATGCTCGTTCACCCGCTACGTCTATGTAATACTTTCTTCTATTTTGTGAAAGTACAATATGTCTCTGATTAATAAAAACAATTGTTTGTTTCAAAAAAAATCACTAAACCTTCCACATCTAAACACTCAATCACTGAACCTTCCATTACCACCATGTTATCGACCATCATTTGATCAACCAGTTCACTCTCCCTCTAGCTACTACTTTCCTACAATGACTCCGCAAATGTTTTCATTCAATTCGTTCTCTTCTCAACCAGTGACAATTTACCACAACCAATCTCAATCAACACCTCGTCCTAATATCGATCTTGATTCGTTTGAAACAGTTCAAGAAACTCAATTCTTTTCTCAGCCTCAACCGCAAAGTAATTTTCAATCTCAACCACGCTGCGTACTCGACGAATCAACTGATTCTTCCAATGAAGGCCTCGTTGAATATCTCGTTCAATAGTCATTTCAAGAGCCCGAAGTTGAACCACAAGTACAATAAAAAGGAAAATGGAGGGCTCCATATAGAGGGTGGACCGTTGATGAAGAGAGGACACTAGCGTAATCATGGCTAAATGTGTCGGAGGACCTGATCCACGGTAACGACCAAGACTCAACAACCTTCAAAGCAAAAGTTTGGTTTAATTTTGTCAATGCGTGAAAATGAAGTACCGTAATCCCGAATCACTTTACTCGAAATGGAGGACCGCCAACCGAGCCACAATTGAGTTCAGCGGCATCTACTTGAACACGATCTGCAACCCCCAAAGCGGTGCAACTGAGTTAGATGTCATGGATAAAGTTCGTCAGATTTACAAGGCGAAATTCGGAAGCGCTTTTGCCAACGAGTCGTTTTCGGGAGTTATTAAGGGCAATCGAAAATGGCTAGATCTAAAAAGTCACGATGATTACATGGGGATGTCCAAACGAAGCAAAACTTCGGAGTCAACCCACAGACAATCTCCCGATGTGCATATTGGAGGGATTGACCTAAACAATGATAAGTCATATGAAGTTCCAACTCGTCCAATGGGACGAGACAAAGCAAAAAGAAAGCTCAAAGGTGTTCAAAGCTCATTGAGTGAAGTGGAGGATATTAGATACGATCTCCGAAGGTCGTACAATAAGCTTGATGTTTTCTTAGAATTGGGAAAGGAAAAAGAAAGAAATCGTGCATTGAAGTTGTGGTTAAAACTAGGGAAAAACTTGTCAAATGATGATCGTCGGGTGTTCAACAATGCAAGAAAGGACCTTGCAAAACAATATAACTGGGATTAAATCGTGTTTTATGTCTTAAGTAAGTTTTAGGTCGTTTAGGTAGTATTAAATCGACATTTTAAATTATGTTTTAGGTAGTATTGAATCATTTTTAGGTCTTAAGTAGTATTAAGTTGTGCTTTAAATTATTGTAATCCTTTTTATTTAATATAAGTGTGTATCGTTAAAAAAAATTATGTAATATTAATTAAATCAAACAAATGTTTGTGTAATATTAAAAAAAATTATTAAAATAAAGTAATTAAATTAAATTAGAAAAAAGAAAATAAAAAATAGAGTGTTATGAGTGTTACTCCTCCCTACCGAATGTTAAGATTGGGTGCTAAATGAAGAAATAATGAGGTGGCATTCAAAAAGTTGACGTGACAATGTGTTAGGAGTGTTACCACTCCCTTTAGCCTAAGCGTAAGGACTTCATGTATGTGTAGATGTATGCCCATAAGGAGCTGACATAGAGACAAGGTCTACGTATGAACATCGCCCTATTGGTGCGTAGGGGTGGTACCGATTGGAGAGGCTTACGGGTCTTCATAAGAAATGTGATTGGCTGAGCATTTTTTGACCATTTCCACCTTTGTGTACACCGGCAAACTTTAAAAAATAATAATAAATAGATTAAAAAGAACTCAAACTTCAACCATCTTCATATTCTAATTTCTAATAAAAGAATAGTTTTTTTTTGTCATGTGTCACTCTATTATGTCTTCTAATTAATATAATATCACTTGTCGATCTATTGATTCTCCATTTTAATTTTTAAATTTTAAATTTCTCACTCTAATTATATTAAATTATAACATTGAAATGAAAATTAAAATAAAATAAATACAGATTATAAGGTGATATAATTTCATGTATTTATTTAAATCAACGATTATAATTTTATATAACTAAAAAATATACCTTAATTAATAATCTACTTAAAATAATTTATTAATACTTTTGAGTTTTTACCATGAAAATTTAATTAACTTTGTAACTGTGGTTCTCACGGGTTATAAACTAGTTTACTTATACATACAAACACGTAAACATCTTTTTTCACACTATAAACACACATTTATGAGTTTTTTTCAATTGAGATAGGATGCTAGAGGTAAACATGGTTTTACTACAATACAAAAAATGCACAACAACACTTAGTCCCCGTTTGATAGACATTTTTCCAAGTCCAAACAGATATTTCTAGCATAATGAACCGGAAAGACTGTTTTATTTGCACAAAAAAATGAGTTTTTTCTGGTAAGATATGTCTTTTCTAGAAAGCCTCACAACCATATCTTTCTGGCTGAATGAGTTGTAAAGACAATTATGTCCCAAACCTCGCCTTTTTCTTTCTTGGATTATTATTTCCTTTAAACAAATAATTCATTTTATTGGATTATTATATTTTTACTGGATAATTATATATTAATAAATATTAATTTTATTATATAATAGTTATATATTAACTAATGTTATTTTATTGGATTATTAATTTCTTTTAAATAATTCTTTTTTTATTTTCCCTTTTATGGATTAATTCTTTTTATTGGATTATTATATATTAATAAATATTAAATATAATATATAATATTTATATATTAATAAATATTACTTTATTGTATTATTAATTTATTTTTATTGGAATAATTCTTTTTTTACAACACCACCATCATCCTAATATATTTTAAAAACAACCTAATCGACATTCTATTTGGATTTTTAAATTATTATTGAATAATTCTAATTTTATATGACAATTTGTATGTTTTTATAGTTACAACAACTTTTTCCATCACAGTATAAAACAGCTGGGTAATATGGTTATTTTTCATCGTTCAGTATAGTCAATCAGATGTACAATCAACCAATATGATTTCTTTCCTAGTCAGAAAACTTTCGTATACAACACTTTCTCGGACAACAACTATCAAACGAGACCTTAGACATTTGGCATACGACATAGCTGCAGACACATCTGATGAGTATTTGAAAATGTTTGAGAGGACGTGTCGAGAATGTGCATATCTTTTTTGTGAGTATGTTATAGAGCTTTACAGTGACATATGCTTGCAAAATTCGACTAGAAGTGATGTTTAACAGTTGTATGACGCATATCATGCTAAACATGGTTTTCCAGGAATGCTTGGTAGCCTTGATTATACACATTGGGAGTTGGTAAATTGTCTCGATACGTGGCGAGGTCAATTCATGCGAGCTGATCATGGTGGGTCGACTGTTATATTAGAAGCAATTGTTTCAAGGGACCTTTGGTTTTGGCATGCATTATTTGGTATGGCAGGGTTAGACAATGACATGAATGTGCTTGGAGCTTCTCCTCTATTTAACGACATTTTGAATAAAGAACAAAACATGTCATATGTTGTGAATAGACATGAATATAATTATGGGTATTACCTTGCTGATGAGATATATCCAAACTACGCTATATTTGTCAAGTCATACTCATATCCGGTGGATGAAAAACAAAAAATGTTCAAGTCAGCACATGAATATGCAAAGAAGGATGTGGAACGGGCTTTTGGAGTCCTCAAACAACAGTGACACATAATCAAACATCCGACACAAGCATGACATAAGGAAAAATTGACGAAGGTGTTGATTGCTTGTGTTATTTTACATAACATGATAATAATAGGAGAGCATAAGGCTATTTATACGTATAGTCTGGACGATATACTTAATCCACTTGTAGTTATTCAAGTTAGCATCCTAGCATACTTCATAAGGTTTTTGGAAATACAAAGTAGTGAAACA